ATGTGTTAATTTATGTTGCCTAAATAAAAAACTTTACAACAGAAAACGTTTGTCTTAACACATAGATTTGCAATCGCAAACTCTACCGAAATTATTTGTAGCCTATGTGGTCATCCTCACGTTATCTGTCATTGACTTGGGCTACAGTGTAAAACTTTATCTAGCCTAACTAGTTTATCAGGTGACCAGTCAGCAAAAATGCTTGTTTGGTGCTGCTGAATGAGACATTTTAATGCATAACAAAATTATTTTGCTTGATCTGTATATTACCTGGCTAATGGGGTACGGGAGAAGCAGCCTATCAGCGACCGTTCCTGCTATCTGAAGACGCTTACTGAACTGCTATGATGCTGTGCATCTGGCATGCCCTGCGGGCGACCGCGCAAGTTCACGTGACAAAGGAAGAGAGATAGGCTGGTCAGGTGTGCGCAAGGAGGTGGCTCATTTCGGGGCATTGTTTAAGTCATTTTTAATGGCTCTGGTTTTCAAAAGATCATTTCAAAACCGACCTCAGTAAAATCTTAATATTAATAAAAAAAATAAAAATAAAAAAACGAGTTTCAAAAGGGTATTTTCGTTGATAAAGGGCAAACTTCCTAGTACTTTAGCACCACCTAGTGTCTATGTATGCACGCCCCTGCAAGGTTGTCTTGGAGCGGGTCACCACTTTGCTGCCCCTGAGTGGTATTAGGTCAACTTGCCAGAGCTTCTCAACATTCCTCATAAACTCAGTGACTTGAGGGGGAACTGAAGTGAAGAAGCAGTGCTTTGGGCTGGAGATCTGGCTTATGACACTGGAGGTGCCCTGCAAGGCCCAGCCCAACCTGGTGTGGACTGCTACTGGACCACCAGGCGGACCCTCTTTTACTGGCTGGGTAGGAGTCAAGAGGTGGGGTTGGTAACTGCCTATGAACAGGAGTGGCTTGACCCTCTTGAAGGGCTGAAGCGACAGTACTGAGAGGTGCTTATACTTCCTCTGCAACTGCTCCAGAGGATAAGTATGGTCGGCGAGATGCGGGCAGAGGTGAAGGCATTGGTGACCTGATACTTGGTCTTGGATCTTGCCTTGGAGGCAATGGTGAAGGTCACGCTGGCTCCGTGTAGGGTTTGGACATCCTGTCTGATTGTAAGTAGAGGTAAGGACTCAGGAGTTCCATGGAGACCCAATGTGTCATCGGCAGCTGGTAGCAACATCGTTCTTTCTGACCAGTCGTCTAATATCGCATAGGTGTCCAGAGTGCGGCCGCCATGGTACAGGAACACTGGGACCACTTTCAGCAGCACCCTGCTGCTTTCAGCTGGCAGATCAAGGTACAACACCTCAGTGGAGGTTGTGCTGCCACCTTGAGGTGGCACAGTTGCTTGGGTGGGACTTCTCTAAGTCACTGTATTGAATTTGTGTAGTTCCTGTAGGTGTTGACCTTGACACAGATTACAGTTCTTCTTTAAGGTGCACTGCGCCGCCTGGTGTGAGCGCGCACAGCGCCAACATCTCTTGTTAGTCTTAATCCACTCAGTTAGCTGCTCTTTGTTTAGCTTACTGATGGCCATGCACTGATTCAGTTGGTGTTCTCGGTTGTCACAGAATGCACAGTAGGGTGCTGGCTTGACCTTGCCTTGACTATCACTTGTAGGTTTGACCTCCCTAGGTGTACTGTTCAGAGACTCATTAAGTAGTGCTTTGCTTTATAGAATGCATTGGTGTTTTTTAAAATTTTTTTTTATTTAACTTTTCAGAATATTTCCAAGTCAAATGTGGGTAACTGTTTTAATGTGTGTATGGTACAGAGACAGAAGTCAAGGAAATCTGCACAGATCTGCTCACCCTGCCTAGTTAGAGCCTCTCTATAAGCAGTCAGTGTGACGTGGAAAAAAATTGGATTAGAGATTAATTAGTCGTACCAACCGGTGTGTTCAGGCCTTTAGATACTGTTCTGTAAATTAGGCCCACAATGTCTTCTTAGTTAGGCCCTCCAGCTTCCTTCAACTTATTTTCATACCAAGTACTACTTACCGTATTTTCACGACCATAAGGCGCACCGTACTAAAAGGCGCACTCTCATTTATGTGTCCCATTTCTGTATTTAACACACACATAAGGCGCACCGGACTATAGGGCGCGTTTTTTATATACAGGTACATGTCCTCTACTAC